AACAGAAAGAGAGAGACAGAAAGTGAGAAATTACCCTCAGGGGGATGGCCACACTGCAATCCCTTCTCCATTTACCTCCTGAGACTTTGGGCATACAACCATACATACCCAGCATGAGTTTCAACCTCCAGATCTGGGACTCGAACTGCAATCGGCCATGTGGGAGTCCAGCAACATAACTGATATGCCACCTGCTGGCCCCAATTTTTTTAACTTCTTAAAAGTTTAAAAGTAGAAGAAATCTTCTGCTTCTGGCAATGGTAAACTAGGTGATCTGGAACAACTCTCTTGCTAAAGGCAATATAAAATTTTGGAAGGTACTTCACAAGATCTTCTTAAAAATATCAAAGGCTTAAACAAGAAAGTGGGGACTTACCAGAGTAAGAAAAGGAAATAGATTACAACTCCAGAAGGCTTAGTGATGAGTTAGTGCTGCTTCTGCCCAGGATGCATTTGCTGAGCGTGAAAATACAGCTTCATTTGGCACAGGGAATGAAGGTAATCTAACTGGAGACTCTTAATCCTGAGTAGGGTATGAGAACATAAGCAGCCTTCACTAAATAAGAAGAAACAAGTATCAGTTGGGACCAGCAGTTAGCGTAATGGTTATGTCTCTGGGTGGTTCGAGTCCCAGACCCACCGGCTTAAACTCATGCTGGGTGCGTGTGCATGCGTGCCCAAGATCCCGAGAGGAGAATGGAGGAGAAGGGACTGTGGCGTGGCCATCCCCCCTGGGGGGGGATTTCTCATTTTCTGTCTCTCTGTTGCTCTCTGTCGATTTCTCATTTTCTGTCTCTCTGTTTCTCTCTGTCTTTCTGCAAGCACATGCGCCCTATAGCAAAAACCTCTCAAAAAACAAACAAACAAACAAAAAAACAAGTATCAGTTAGGGCAAGAAGGTGAAAAGAACATTCAGATAAAAGACTGAAGATAAAGGAGATTTTCTCATCATAAAGTGATGATGGAATCTCCAGTGAGTACAGTGAAAAGGTTTGGGAGGAGAAAGATGGTGATTAAAATCTGAGGTACAATTTCTGAATGGGAGATATATTCTATAATACTTCTAGTCCTATGCCATATGTATGATCCATAAGATTGCTGGACTTGTATGGAACTTTCCCTGTGAGCAATCCTCAATTCTGTGGCCTTCTTATTTGTTCTGTTCACATATGCCCACACTATACATCCTAATTCTACTGCTGTATGTTCAGCTTACTGAAACTGTCCTATACCTTCCAGTTCAGTAATCTGCACCAAAATGCATATTTGGGAGGGTGTTTTACTCATGCTGACACCATTACCAGCATGAGTATCTAGTCCATTAAAGGGGATATAGGTCAGGGAGGTAGATCTCCCGTCTCAAAAAAATGAAGAATGTTAGGGTCTTAAAATCAAGAGATGAGGAGTAAGAAGAGGGGAGTAACAGTTGCTAAAAGCTATCCTCAACCTCCATTCTCTGTAACTGTTGCCACAAGGCCTCAACTCACACCTCTACAACACAGCTCTTGTGATTGAGATAATAGCAGCTAATTCTTAGTGAAATCAACATTCTCCTCCCACTCTAGACCAGGGCAATAGTGGGCTCTAATTATAGCAGTGTAACAATAAGCTGGAGGGCCTTTCTAGGCTGCCAACAAGTTCACATTGAGGAATTTATTCCTAAGAAATTATCAGAGAGCAGTAAGACTTGGAGGCACAGGTGTAGCATATTGATCCGCAGTGCTGGAAGCTGTAAGATTGACCATGGGTTCAGATTCTGAAATAATCTGAAAACATGTCAGGGGCATGTGCACCTAAGATCCTGATTAGCTGGAGGGCTATGGGTAGGGAATCTTGGTGCAAAAGGACCCAGTGGGGGTGCCTTTCTCTCTTTCATGCACACGTATGCATGTACTCTCTCTCATGAACAAAAAACTAACTAAACTTTAAAAAATTATTAGAGATGTGGAAAAAACTTACTCATTGATACATTGCAGCATTAACTACAATGTGTATTAGTTGAAAACAAGCAAAATGTTTAATAATAGAAGATCATTTAAAACACTTGAAACTTCTATAAAATTGAATCATGTAAAGCCATTCAAGATCATGTTGTAGAACTATTTTCTGATATAAGAAAAAATGTTAAGTATATTTTGAAGAGAAAAACGACAATTTATAAAATAGTATGTTTTTACTATAGGGCACATGTGCTCACTGGAGAGACAGAGAGAGGCAAAGAGAGAGCGAGCGAGAAATGATTCCCCGGGACAATGTCCATGCCACAATCCCTTCTCTTCCATTCTCCTCTCAGACTTTGTGTATGCATGCACAAGCGCCTGGAGTGAGTTTCAAGCTGCCAGGTCCAGTACTAGAACTATGGTTAACTAGGTGCGAGTCCAGCGACATAACCATTACACCATCTGTTGGTCCCTGGTAAGTAACCTTTTAAAACACATTCACTAGTCCACCCCTGCCACTTTCTTTAACCTTGTTTCTGTCTCTGACTAAGTCTAGAAGGGCACATGCCAACATGCTAATAGGGGTTATCTCTAGGTCCTGGGTTTATAGTTAATTTCTTCTTTTCAGTGATTGCTAAATTTTCTGCACACAGCATATATTTATTCTGTAATTATTGAAAAGTATTAACATTTGGCTAATAAATAAATACATTTCTATGGCAATAAGTTACAAATATTATTTGAAAATCCTTTGGTCCATCTTACTTCAATCAGACTTTAATCTTTTCAGTCAAATTATATGAGCACATGTTTTGGGGACTGCTCTATGATGGATTAAAATGAAGCAGAAATGAACATTCTCTCCTCCCCCCTATGTATCCTAAGGGCTGTCAATAAGGACCAACAAATTTTGTTTAAAAATCAAAATCTACTGAGGAAATTTTGACTTAATTAATACATCTGTATTTAAAAGAAAGAAACATCAGAAGTCATCTTCTTTTCCTCAAAGTTCCAGATAAAGCCCACTGTACTCATTGCTAACCCTGCCATTCAATTCCTTGGAGATAATTTTGCCATACAGGAATATAAAATAAACAGAAGAGGTTTTCCTTCTTTGTCTTTATTATTATTATTATTATTATTATTATTATTATTGTTATTATTTTCATAATTTCAAAAGAGACTACAGGTCTAAATAAAGCTCATGTTAACTACTCAGGGGAGGGAATCATACTATGGTGGTACTAGGCAGATTATGTCCACTTTGCCAAATCAAAACTACTAGTTTGTCAGGAAAGTCAAGACGTGTATTTTTCTGTTTTTCTATGCAAAAATTCATCATGACTTACTAGACAACCCAATAGAAAGAAGATTCTCTTGTCCTGTGCTCTGGGAAGCACAAATACAGTAGCCCTAATATTGGCAGTGATGAGTGGTTAGATAACCTTAACATAGTTCTGTCTTATCAGTGATAAAGATTTTGAGTTGTGTCAAGAAAAGCTAAGGGTTTATTTTATGGAAAGGGTAGAAAAGGGTATGAGGATTTGGAGGAAAGGTGAAGGAAAAGACAGGAAGAAGGAAGGCCCGAAAACAGGAATAATTGTGATTGTAATGGAGGATCAACAATGATAATGTAGTCAAATTAGTTTAGGAGAACAATGGGTAAGATTGTATGCACAGTATAGGGCCAGATTATGGTGGGGGCCCCTTAGAAACATAATTCAGGTTTGGTTTGATAGTTAATGGAGAACTATTTAAGTATTTTCACCTACATTGTCTTTAGTACATAGACAAAAGTACTTTTTCTAGGAAGAAAAATAGCTAACTTTTTAAAGTACTCTTCCTGTTCCAGGCAGTGTGTTACAATGATGATACAAAAAAAATTTAAAAAAAAAAAGGTGGTCTTCAGAGTTGGTTGGAACTTTGAGTTCTAACTCTGGAATTTACTAACTACACAACTTTGGGAATTACTTATTCTGAGTTTTGGTTTCTTCCTTTGTAAGATTGATGTAATAGTACCCACCTTTTGAAGTTGTTGTATGGCTCACATGCAAAGAGATTAATTTGGAATTGGTGTTTATGACAGAGTGAACTTGTAGATAGGCAACAGGAAGCTATTCCAGTTATTAAGCCTACACAAGGATAGTAAACCCATATGATAGAGAAGGAAGACAAAGGAGACTCAGTTTCCACTCATTCATCTTGCAAGTCACTCATTCATTTTGCGAGTTCCCTTTTTTCCCTATTCATTTGACATGATCTGGGACCTTGAAACTACACTTTGAAGTAAATGGCCTCTTTCTGGACATTATAATTGTTTGCTCATTTCCTTGGGAGCTACAAATAGCCATCTGTTAATCATTTCAACATCTCCTGCAACATATGCCCCAAATACCCTTTCCTCGATTAGATATAAAGCAAAACAAAACAAAATAAAAATCACTCACTTTAGTACCCAGTATTCTTAACTTTTTTTGTTTGCAGTTTCCTCCTCCCTTCTTGGGTTTGCCAATCAGGCCTCCTGCCAGTTCCCAAAGAACCTGGGTTTTCTATTTAAACAAAACACAAAACTCAGAAAGAAAACCAATCCAGTATTTTCTGGGCTTAGGGAAACCTAAAACTTTTCTTCAATTCTCTGGCATTGATTAGTACTTCAATGCCCAATTCCCAACCAGATGACAACAGAAAAATCACAACATAACAAGAGTCATAAAATGCGCAACGCTTTGAGAACACGGGGGTTTTCTTACTAGTGCCTGGATTCAACATAGAGCTTGCTCTTTCAAGGAAGATCTGTCTTCTTATTGGCATTCATTTCTGAGCAGGAAGTTATGTATAATACTTGTAGTCTCCATGAAAAAGGTCCTTCATTCCAATCTAATACGACTCAGCGTTCCCTTTTCTTTTTCTCCCCCCTCCTTCTCCTCTCTCCTTTCTCGAGGATGGAATAGTCAAAAATAAATGTTTCAACAAATCTCGCGGTGGTATTCGAGATTCCCCACTTAAATAAAAAAATTAGAAATGATATATACGAGCCTTTGCCTTCCGGAGCTTGGGGCTAGGACTGCAGCGCTCTGAGTGAAAGCAGCTAAAGGCGGAGGCGGGGTTCTGGTGAATTCCCCTTCCACCTTCCCCCACCCTCCTCTAGCTGGATTCCAGCTTGCTGCGGCTGCTCCATAGCCATTTGCAGGATCCAAACAACGGGAGCGGCTTTTCACAGGATGGTGATCCAAGTATACATTGCGTCTTCCTCTGGTTCAACTGCGGTAAGGAGTGTGGGGAGCCCACCTTTGTTCTTTTTCTACACACTAGTCCTCTGCTGTCTCAGTACCATTAAATTGCAGAAGTTCTTAAGGCAGCTTCTCTTTCAGAGCACACGCATCCCCCACCCAGCCCCCCTTCTTCTCTTTGTTGCATTGATTTCATTTTTCCATGGAGTTTAGCTTTGTTTGCCTTATGACGTTGGGGCCACATTTCTCCTTTTTCCTTCAAAGAAAAAGAAAGCTACCGAATTTGGCTAGAGATGATGGTATAGGGTCTTTAGGGTTACATGAGGAAGTCAAGTAAAATCACGCTTTGTTGTTTCAAGAGTCAGGCATTGACAAATATATGCTCAAAATATTGAGGCAAGGAGAAGTGTGCTTCTGTAAAGGATAGGGGTACACATGCTGTAACTGATGAGGAGAGCGAGGAGGCCTACTGAGGCACTGAGATTGTTTTGAGAAAGTGAAACCCCTGTAATAGAATTATATTGAGAGTGTGTAGGAGAAGGTGTTTAAATTCAGTTTACAGGCCTGTTAGACTTAGACCAAATATAAGGGGAAGTTGAGGACAGTGATATAAAGTTGTTTTCTCTTAATGTGATATGGTATTTACCCCCCACACCCTGTACATATTATATTAGCCCTTATTTTGACTTTTTATTTTATTCCTAAAGATTTTACTTCTAATATATTTCGTAACTGTTTCAAATATATTAAGAACTGGAAAGGGAACTAAAAAGTGGCTTCTTGTGTAGTGGCTTACTGAGGTGCTGCTTCTTCAAATTATAGGATGTTCTTCCTTTGGATTCACTTGCTGCTTATTTAGTGTAACAATTTTTTCATCTGCTGAGGGGATTATAGGATAAGCAGGGTGAAAGCTGAGGGTACATCCATGATAAACTGAAGTGTCTCTTTATCCTTTTCTTTTTATTTTTGGAGAGGTTTTTTTTTTTTTTTTTTTTTTTTTTTTTTTTTTTTGTTATAGGACATGTGCCTTCACCAGAAAGACAAGAGAGAGACAGAGAGAAAGTGAGCAATTACCCCCCCAGGAGGGATGGCCATGCCGCAATCCCTTCTCCTCCATTCTCCTTTCGGGATCTTGGGCACGCACACACACGCACCCAGCATGAGTTTAAGCCACCAGGTCCGGGACTCTAACTGCAGTTGTCTACATGGGAGTCCAGTGACATAGCTTTTATGCCAACTGCTGGTCCTGAAGTGTCTCTTTTTCACAACTCAAGAACAAAGCCAACAATGGTAAGGGCAAATGTGTGGGTTCAGGTTGTAGGATATAGGAACCCCCTTAGCTGTTCCTCAACTTTAGTACAGCAGTTATTCCAGGTTGTTGTTATGAGTTTTTGTTTTTTAGTTTGTTTATTTACATCTAAGAAGATTTGGAATAAAAATGAAGGTTATGTGAAATCACAAGAACCTTAAACTTTGAACTTCGTCTTCTCTGGCCACCATGTGTGGGTGTATTGAGGCAATTTTGAAATACCAGAAAACTTAATCTTACATTTTTTGAGCAATTTTAGGTTGAAGAAAACTTTTTGTATTTCCTTTGGTTTTCAGTTTATTAGCCTCTTGCCATATTATTTCCCATACATCTTAATTGAGATAGTTGAAAGTAAAATTTGAGTCACTCAGTCTCAATTTCATACTACCATTGTAAAGTTTCAAAGACCAGCTTATGCCTTTAGTTAAACCTTTAATTAGATGAAAGAGATCAAGCAGTTACTTTCACTTTAGGGACCATGTAGTTTCAATAGTGCCATTTATTCTTTGCTTTCTCCCTAATCTACCCTTCCCCCAAAAGCAGATTTAAGAAGAAACTGCTTTCAGAATGACTATTCAAGGAGGAAAAACTGTACCTCTCTCTTTGTTAAGACCTAAATTTCTAAGAGTCTTACTATTTTCTATTATTTCCTTTTTGATTGTTTCTATTGTTAAAGACTACGCAAATGGCAGATCTTTTTTTTTTTTTTTTTTTTTTTTTTTAATTTTTTTTTTTAGTTTTGCTATAGCATGGTAGGCACACCAAAAAGAGAGAGAAATCACCCTCCCCCCACCCAGGGGGAATGCCTCCACCTCTAATCCTTGCCTGCTACCATCTCTTTTCCATTCTCCTCTCAAGATATTGGGCATACATGCACACAAGCCTGACGTGATTTTCAAGCTGCAAAGTCTAGACTTAAACTGTGCTGTCGGCCATGTGGGATCTAGCACTTTAACCTCCGTGCTACCTGCTGGCCTGCAAATGAAAGATATTTATGATATTTGTGTTTTGTTTCAACTTTCTTCTCATGACTAATTAGAGATTTGTCTGTTTTTGCAATAATTATAGTTCACGTGAACCTGTTATCAAAATTCTGCATATTGCCCAAATAAATCTTTGATTTATTATAATCTTTCAGGATTTTTAAGTAATACTAAAATGGTACAAAGCAAGTGCACTTTAGGCAGAACTCCTTTGTAACATAAATGGGGTGGTGATTATATGCTTCAGAAAGGGACTCTTCAGTTTGTAATACCTAATTCCTTTAAGAGTGCTATCACGAGACTGGCAGGTGGCATGATGGTTGAGGTGAATGGACCTCCACACAGCTCACTGCTGTGCAAGTTTTGGACCTGACAGCTTGCTTTCTTACTTTCTCTCTTTTTGTCTTTGTCTGGTTAAATTGAAAATAATAATAATAATAGTAAATTAAATTAAATAATTCTAATAAAAGGCTTTCTATCATGTTTTTAATACATGATTTTGAAAATTTGGGGCCAAACATTGTGATGGAACCTAATGATTGCACCAGGTGAGATACTCCTATAAGTGACTAAGTATTAACAATCTGAAGAACATTTAAAAGCTTCTTGGCTTTAGATTAGAAATATCTCACTTTTTATGACTCTTACTATTGTTATCATAAAGATAACTAACATTCTGGGATATATATTGGTCAGAGGAGGATTTAGACCTGTGATAATTGGCAAGAAAATCATAACTTATTTTGTCTGTATCCCAAGACTATTTTCTTCATATCTAATTAAAAAAAAAAAAGTCACACTTGTATTCAACTCTGCCCCAATACAGAGAAGTAGTACTTACTTCTCAAAAGTTTAGAAATGAAAGCAAGTGTGTTGATCTTTGCATTGGATTTCTTCATAGTAGCTATAATAATGATAGCCATTAGGAACACTTCAGTGTGTTAGGTACTATCTTATTTTTTTTTACTGACAGTAGTCCTATGAATTAGGTACTATGATTATGCTTGTTTTTCAGAGAAAGCTTATATACATACTCAGAGAAGTTAAATGACTTTCTCAAGGTCACAGAGCTTGTGAGCAACAGAGCTTCAATCCAACAACAAAACATTTGAATACCAAGAACATGTGCATAACCACTAAGAAATACATTTTCTCAGTGATGAATGGCAGCTAGTAAGCATGAAGAGATCAATGTGAAAATGAGATAAAAAGGAGAGGAAGGAGCAAATCCTGTTAGTGGAAGAGTTTCCTGGGAAGTAGTGTGGATGAGGGTTAGTGTGTCTAAGGATGAATGTCAGTAGATGGGGTAAATGGCTATTCACCTAAGATCAGGTACGTAGAGAAGACATGCACTTTGGAAAGCCTAAGATGACTTTTTATAGGTAAAGGTATGAAAATTCAGGCCTTAATACTGTTTTTCATGGGAACCATTTAGCAAGAATGCAGCTCCAAAGCTTTTTGTCCGTGGGAATTGCTTTTTGCCTGTTAGAATTGTTCATGCATGTCGTCACCTGCTGTGACATAGTAGTATGAGCCAGGTTTGTTTCTGACGACTGTAATGCCTTGTAAATTTATATTTAATGGAAAAGGAATACTAAGCATATAGCCTATGTAACTCAGTAAATTGTATAAGTTTTAAGAAAAACCAACATTGACCTTTGGACAGAATTGCCATGGGGATGGGTAATTTGGATCATTTTAATTGGTTTGAAACTGTTTTTTTCCATACTTCTTTTCCCCTAGATCCGTAATGATCTCCATTTCATGGCTTCTGTGTATTCTATGTGTGCCATGGTATAGAAATTTTAAGGCTGTGGTAGGTAGATTGCTTCTAAAGTTTTTATTTTTAGGGTAGCATCTGCAAAAATTAATCCTTTATATTATTATTATTATTATTATTATTTTTATTTTGGAGAGGTTTTTGCTATAGGGCACGTGTACTCACCAGAAAGACAGAGAGACAGAGAGACAGAAAGCGAGAAATCACCCCCTGGGGGATGACCATGCTGCAATCCGTTCACCTCCATTCTCCTCTCAGGATCTTGGGCACACACACACATATGCCCGGCATGAGTTTAAGCTACTGAGTCCAGGACTCAAATTGCGGTAGACTACATGGGAGTTCAGCGACATAGCCATTACGTTAACAGCTGGTCCCAAATGAATCCTTTAAATAAAGTGCTAAAACAAGCTAGTTGTAGCTTAACTTGTCTAAATATTAAATTAAATATATATAATTTTCCTCTATGGTGAGACTCAGTGTATAAGGACAATGAGCACTTTTGATTGCCAAATCACAAGTCACTAGTCAGTCTTTTTTTTTTTTTTTTTTACATTTGTAACATGGATACAGAACACCAAGCCATGGTTCTTCTTTATGTGGTTCTCAAGTTAATTGCATTGTAGGTGACAGAATTCTTTTTCAAATTTATCCATTTATTTCTTCAGAGAAAGAGATAGGGAGAGACACCTCACAGGGTCTTTATTGTAATCCACCTCCAGCCATAGTCAGCTAGGATCATGGGCATATATGCACATGCCTGTCTTTATAGGGTGGTTTTAGTACATGAACCCAGGACTCTCCTATGTCAGCCCAATAGCATAGAATTTTGTGCTACTGCTGCAGCCATCAGCTGGCCTCCAGAATGTTTTGCTTTTCCTTCTTTGTATTTATAAATTGAACATTGATTTGATATATGTTATGATCTTTGTCATAGCGGTCAGAGTTTGTTTGAATGCACATT